TCTCTCTCTCTCTCTCTCGCTCTCTCTCTCTCTCTCTCTCTCTCTCTCTCTCTCTCTCTCCTTCATAGTAGGTTTCTGGAGTTTTATGTCACTGTGACCCCTCTTCACTGACCTTTAACCCTTTGGAGATAGAGACAGTAGATGAGAGACCAGGAAAGAAAGATATTTAGAGAAAAATATATTCATCAGATGATGCTTGTAACCTACTAAAGCTGACAGAGCAAAGGAAAGAGCTCCACCTCTCCGTCTCTTTATATCTCTCTCTCTCTCCATTTTTTCCTGTGTACACTGTCATTGTGTTAAACACAGTGTTTAAGTGTGAGTTTGAGAAAGCGTGTGCATAGTGTTTATGTGTGTGTGTGTGTTGGGGATCTCCTTCTCAGCTAGTGCTTGTTATATTCCCATGATGCTGCAGCACGATGCACCAGAATGCACCAGGAACCAATTCTCTCTCTCTTTTTTTCTCCCAAGTATTTTCATTTCATATCACCAGAAATGGTGTCTTTCTGGCCCAGTTTTATCAGCTCTAACTTATTATATTACTTTTGTTGTTTGGTAGTAATTCTTTTTGCTTCATTTGAGTTTATTAAAAATTAGCTGTGATTTGAGTAGTTTATGACTTTCTGTAATTTGAGCCCACATAGTTTAAGTCGATGAAAGGCAAGTTACTTTATGACTAAGTTTAGACACTGTAGTTGTAGAGTAGCTGTGGTTATAGTCTGGTTGAATTACTAGTTGTAATTTAGTTTGCTGTAAATATAGTCACTGGGAGTTAAGTATTATATTGTACATACGTATATTTAAATTCAGATGCAGTTTTGATTGATATTCATCATTCAGATTTTTTAATATTTAGCAAAGACACATTAAACTGATGAAAAGTGACCGTAAAGACATTTATAATGTTACAAACGTTTTCCGTTTAAAATGCTGTTCAACGTTTTAGTCATCAAAACATTCTATCACAATTTCCACAAAAAATATTAATCAGCCCAACTGTTTTCAACATTGATAATAATAAGAAATGTTTTTGAGCACTAAATCAGCATGTTTTAATGATTTCTGAAAATAATGGGAATTTTTTTTATAAATGCTGTCACACACTGGAGTTATTTGCTGTGACTACAGTCACTGGAGTTTGTGTTTTAGTAGCTTTAATTATTGTGCCTTTAGTTCAGTCAGCGTTTGGTAGAACGATGAAAGGAAAGCAACAGTAGAAAGAGGATGTGTATCATTAGCCTTCTCCTCATATTCTTCATCACCCTGTTTTTCTGCATCTTGCCTCTCTTTGGACATTTAAACCTTTTTTTTGTAAATCTGCTGTTATAGCAAAGCTCCACTGTGTAATGAATCATTTAGAAAAGTAAACATTGCTCATTTATTATAATGAATTAATAGGTGCTTCTAGCGAATATATTTCGATTTCTTCAAGTGTAGCTGAGCTATTATGAAGTGTAATAAGCTGCTGGCATAAGGTCTTTGTAGGCATGTGGCTCATTGGTAATTGCGTAAAGTTAGAAAGATGTCCAGAATAGTGGTCGACCGATATATCGGCCGATATTTGGCTTTTTCAAATATCGACTTTTATTTTTTGACGGCGCGTCGGACATTTATTTGACGGCGCTGAGAACGGCTGCGGCAGCGCCTGAACACACAGTGCTCACATTCCCCCTCTTGTTCTCTGTCGTCGTTAACAGTTCTGTCCACGAACAAGAAGTCTGTCTAATAATCAGATAGAACTGTTAAACAAAGGAATTAAAATGTATACAAACAAGTATTATAACGATTGCTTTTATATTGTTAGTAATAGAAAGTCAAACATTATAATACTTTCTCGTTTACCATCAGCATTCAGCAAATACGCATTTACATCATTTAAACAAATCTTTGAATGACTAATGAACATCTAATTTCAAAAAACTTGCAAACTTAGTCGAATCCAGCTGTGAGATCTTATGAAGTGTGCATTTGTATCCTGCACGATCGCGTGTACTCTGCATGACGGTCAGTCCGTGCGAACTGAATGCGGACAGGAGGAGAGTTCAGCTTCACTGAGATGCGCGATCGACAAACTTTAAACTCGTGATTTCAAATTATGCTGCGTTTCATGCTTTTGCCCACTGCCATATTCATGTCATTTTCACTGTGAGCTGTATGTAAAATGAGTGTTACCTTGGTTTTATTTGAAAAAATGTGATTCCCAATGCACACAAACTTCCCAGAATGCTGAGTGCCCTGTTGTTTACAGTGTTTACTTCCTTTTTAATTATATTTTTATAAAATATTCGTTTTTTTGTGAAAAATACATTGTCATTTAAAGTATAAGCATGTTTATTTTACACATTTATTTTTTGAATCCATTTTCAAATGATTTCAAATTTCTTAAATATTAAATAAAATACATAAAATTATATCGGCTTTATATCGGCCATCGGCCACCCTGCTTTCCAAGATATCGGCATCGGCATCGGCTGTCAAAAAAACAATATTGGTCGACCACTAGTCCAGAACTACATTGTGCTTAATATAATGATTTTTAGTTCTTCCTGTATGCACTGTATGGAAGCCTGTTTCTGCCACGGAATAAAAAATAAGAAAGGAATTGCGATTTTTTTATCTCACAATTCTGAGCTTTTCTCACAATTCTGTGTTTATATATCACAATTCAGACCTTGTAATATAAAAATTCTGAGAAGAAAAGTCAGAATTGTGAGATATAAGCTCGCAGTTGTGAGGAAAAAGTCAGAATTGTGAGATAAAAAGTCGCAACTGCCTTTTTCAATTTTTTATTCCGTGGCGGAAACAAAAAATTAAGAATTGCGAAATGTAAACTAAGAATTCTGAGAAAAAAATATCTGAAATGTGAGATGTAAATCTCAGTCAGAATTCTGAGTTTATATCTTGCAATTATGACTTTTTCATTGAATTATGACTAATTCAATGTGGTATGTGTAATGGCATTATTTTAAAACTGTCTATCTTCTATTTTCTACATTTACTGCTACTTTTATTTA